ATTTTAGGGAATGAAGTGAAATAGGTATTTGATAAAAGAATCAGAATGGCATAGGTGCTGGCTTGAAATTGTTTCCTGTTAGTCACTGGAGTATTCCTGCTTGTGCTGGGAAGCTGGACTAGATGACCGCCAGTAGTCCCTTCTAACCTTTCCCATTCTATGATTCTGTGATTTCTGGTCATTACACTTGTGAGGAGGTGTACATAATTATTGAACACAGTTAAGGATTAAAAAATTCTGCAAAAATGTTATTGGCATCTATATTTAAACCAATCATATAGCAAACTGCTGTTTTGACCAGAGAGTTGGACCAGATGATCTTCAGAGCTCATTTCCAAATTATGCTATTCTATGTCAGATATATTTTAATTAACATTACCCTGTCCACTAGTCTTAATTACCTGAAAACAGAACTCCTTGTGGGGATGCTCTTGACTTCAGTGAGTTATCCTGGAATTAAGGAGGGGGGGAAGAGAGGATCCCAGAAGACTCAGGTATTTGGGTTAATTACCTGACATGTGGTAACACGAGTTGAGGTCTGACCTTTGATTCAGAAAATAAGTGGACCACTTCTCTTAATCTTCCTTTATTTTAATTGGTTGTGAAAGCTCTGTTTGATTTTTGATGTGTAACAAAAACAAATTATGGAACATCAAAAAAATGCTGCAAATCTGGCAATTCCTGGCTTCTTGCCAGCTGTACTCAACTGGACCTAGTTAGAGGAAAACAGACCTTATGTAGTCCTATTGTTTCCTTTTCTCTCTTGACTATAATAGAGAATTGCTTAATGATATTTCTTTCAAATTATTTCGTTCTAATTAGGAATGTCTGTTAGTTACTTCAACATACATTCTCAAGAGATACATATGTATGTATGGTTTCACAACTATTTTAGGTAGATTAGTTCTTATGCTTCACTCAAAACTGGGCTAAGGGGGAGGTGGGCCAGAGAGCTTATAAGGATTAATATAGTGATTTTGCCAGTTTAAAATCTGAACCAAAAATACAAAAAGCTATCACATGAATTTCAATAATAAGGGTAAACTTTTTTGTTTTCTGAGGGTAGATAGACATAAGATAAGAAAAGGTATGAAAATCTCATGTGTTTCGTTCTTCAGCTGTACTAAAATAGAAGGGGCAGATAGATAGGGCAAAGGAAATTCAGAACAAAATTTTTTCTAGGGAAGAGTCTAATATTTAAACCTTCCATATCCCAACTGAATGTCCAAACCAAAGGTGTCTATAGAAACCACTTCTTCTGTAGCCCAATAAATTTTTGAGGTCAAGAGACTAAGTAGCTCACTGCATGACTCTCAACAAATGAGAACTATGATCTCACTCGGTGTTGGATAAAATGAGGGAGCAGCAGGCTGCCAGAAAAATAACTGCACTTCTTACTGGTGCAGTGAATGTAGATTTGAATAAATGTTGATGAGACAGTGTCTCTCAGAAGTAAGATGGAACCAAATTAGGACCCATTATTAGGAAAAACACCACGTTACAATTTACAGTCTAGTCCTAAACTGTATAGTTATCATATGGTGCTAATACTCATTTTGTTCTTCTGTGAAGCTGGTCTGGGATTTAACATCTTGAGATTGGTTTAATCTGGAACATATGTGTTTTCTTTTATTTCACGTATGTGTTCTGCATTTCCCTTTTTCCAAGAGCTAGGATCAGTGTGATAGTATGCTGTGATGAGAGAAATACAGAGATCATTGTTGTGATATAGCTATAGAAACAATATGGGACCTACAATAAAATATGCATGTTCTCTTTTATGGATCTGTTTTGTGGTGCAGGCTAGTGTTTGTTAAGATTAGAAAGCGACAGTTTCCCCTATTGGTCATGGTAAGTGTGTGTATGTGTGTTCCGTCTCCCCAAAAAGCTTTAGTAAATTAACCTTTACTGCAAATTTTAGTAAACATTCAGTTGAAGCAGCCTGAAATTATACATGTGTCTGTCTTCTGCCATGGGAATGCTGTGAAGGAGGATTCTATCACAAAGCTTAGGATCACTTAGATTTTTCTGGGTCTTTGTGGCTGGATCTATATAAATCTAGCATTTTAAGACAAAGGACTGAAAGATTTCTTCAAATAAAGGGATTATTTATAGCATTAGTTTATCAAAGTGGAATAAAAAAAATGTATATAACTTGAAAAGCATTTCATGTAAAGATGTCATTTCCCTTCAGTACTAAAATATAAGTATATCCCATAATATTTTCTTTTGTTATGTAGAGCTATGTTGCAGTATAGTACAAAATAAATTAAATTCCCTGTCATAACAATGTAGTATATGCAATTCTAGCAGAATTGTTTGTCCAATATGATTTTCTTTCTAGTCAGAAAACCCCTAACTGCCACGATGAAACTGTCTTTTCTGGCAAAAGAAGCTCCCTTGATCAGTGCTACTTACCCACAAGGGATTTTCTTTTGTCTTGTTTGGTCATAAGGTTGTCTTACAGTGTGAAACTAGTTCAGTATGGTAAATGAAGTCTCAGCTGAAAACTGATTATGTAGCACAGTGCCTCTTCCCAATGCGTTGTTTCCTTTTGCTAGAACCTGTGCTTTTAAATAAGTGAATATGGAAAGTACATTTGAATTATAAATAGCCTGTAAAGGAAAATCCAGAAAAAAGACTTGCTGTCTTTTCTAAAACACATCAAACCTCTGTTGTGTGTTTGAACCGTCGCATTTGCATGGAAACTCCTCTTTACCCTAGTGAGAATTCAAGGGAATTTATTGGACATATTTGAGCATGCTCACTGATGCTAGGGAGTAAAGACAGGTTATCTAAAACAAACCTTCTATTTGATCTAATCTAGTTTTCTTCAACCTTCATAAGACTACAATCGTAAAATTCTCTTTTATTATAACAGGCACAAAACAAGTCTGGGAAGGGCATTAAATTCTGCTGTATAATTAATATTGGACACAGAGTCTCTGTGCTGCTACTCCAAAATGGAACAGTAAAGAGTCGCAAAAATAACTAAGCCCCTGATATCATCCTGCATAAATTGAATGAAGGAGAATTTCCAACACCTGACTAAAGAAGAAGAATAAAGGGTAGAGGAAGGCACTAGAGGGTCACCTGCCCTACTGCCTGAGAGAGTGAGCCCTGTACTTTGCTGAGTGTTGATCAAACACCCAGTGAGGCAGAGGGACAGCCATGCAGCCTCACCTTCACCCGGATATGAAATATATAATGGGAGAAATGTGCAATACTTCCAGCTCTTCTTTCATTCCTTATTCTCCAAGTTGAACAGGGTCTCGAGTCAGGGTTTTGATTCTAGCTTATAAAGATCAAACTACACAGGTCTAGCCAAGATTTGCCTCAAGAACATTATTTTGTGAAACTTTTCAGCCTCTAAAATGGAAATCCTTATACAACCTGCACTGCTGTGCAGCAGACATGGCCTCTGCTGAAAGAATAGTGCATAAAGTGTACGTTTTTTATCAGTAGTATATGTATGGTGTTTAATTTGGTTGGTTTAAGAGCACAAACCTAGGTTATATTTGCCAAATAGAAGTTGACTTGTGATTTGTTCTTAGACTGTTATGTCTTAACCAGCAGAATGGGTTCTTTACAACACAGTTTCAAAATCTACAGACAGAAACATGCTTCATATACAGAATTTCACAATCTTTTGTAATGATGCTACACAAATTGAATGTTTGGCCACTGTGTTGCATGAAGTATGAACATATAGTTTTATTATTCACTGAACAAATATTCGCATTTTATTTAGCAAACAGGTTTTCCAATGCAGAAATGCATATTCTAAAGATGGACCAGGATTAAGGGATATGTATAAAAAGGAAGAGGGTAGCAAGGAAGTGTCAAATCAGTATAATTACTTCTGACTGATTATTAAAATGTACAAGCTTAATTTTTTTGCCATTATATTGTCATGTGACTAAAAAACATTCAGTGATGGATGACTAACATTGTGCTGTTATATATACAAAAATGTTTGTCAAACTCTTTGTTCTCTGAAATGAAACAAACAGGAAACTGCATGTCAGGTCCTCTGATGATGTGTTTTGTCTTATAACAAGTAGGAAAGTCTGCGTTCCAGTTTGTATTTTTTCCATCTCTTGTGTTCAGGTTCTATGTCCAAACTACTTCTCCATTTTAGAAGTCAGCATAAATCTACCCCATGCAAATATTTCATTTAAATTGTTATGAGAAAAGCAACAAAAGTTGGTCTTAGTTATTCTAAATTAAGACTATATTTTTGGAAAAGAAAACAGTCCAAGACAGAAACATAAACATGCTTTCATATCCATATGGTTTATCTTGCCGAGAAGCTAGGAAAGCTTGATTCCTGACATCCATTTGCAAGTATTTAAAACCTTTCTAACTTCTAAACTTTTTAAACTTTAAAACCCTTTTAACTTTTTAACTATTCAAAACTTGCATTGCAAGGAACTGCCTTGGCAACGAATGAATAATTTATGTGATGGGATTCCACACTCAATTTCTGTGCTTCTGTGTTATATGTGTGATGTTAGGAAATGTGGCTCTTCCTTTCAAAGAGGTTGTTTCACATTTTATAGTAAGGCATTTTAACCATTGTTTTTAAGCCATCTGTTTAAATAGGAGTTTTTTAGGGCTGGAGGTTTTTTAAGCTTGATTTTGCTTGTGCCTTATCTCTGGAAAGAACTGCTGTGAGAGAAAAAAAATGAAAGTGGGTCTATAGAAGGTATTGCCAAGACAAAACAAAAAAACAGAAACAAGAAAAAGAATCAACAAAACATTGAGAATGTTTGGGGGTTTTTTTCTGGTAACTAGGGTGAGTTCAAAATTTACAAGTTGGAAACTCGATCAGAAGAAGGACCAACTGGGTTGTCAGACAGACAATTGTGTAACAAGCAGTTAATCCAGGCGGGCCCAGGGGACATCATCTGCTCCCCCTCTCAGAGACTGCACAGCACTTCTAATACCCTTGTAACAAGCTTAAACCCGTAATAAAAGATCTGTGTTCACAATTACAGTGTGCCACAGAAAGAAGGCAGGAGACCTTGGAAGCTTTATTGGTATCACAGGACATGGCAGTAGCAAGGACTTGCTAAGAAATTTCTAGGTGAGCTTCAGAGGCTCGGAGCTCTAGGTGAGATTCCTTCTGTGTGAGGAGGGGAGACCCACAGCCCAGGCACTTCTGCCAGGCAGCCCTGTAGGGAAATGCCTTCCTGGCTGCAATCTGGCAATCTGTGAGTGCTTGAGCCAAGCATCTCATAAGCTTCAGGGATTTTTCCTATCAGCCAAAGTTTTCTGTTTCTAGTTCTAGCTACAGCTGCATTTCCTCAGAAAACTCCCCTGGAAGTTAGCTAATATGTCACCTTGGGGAAAGTGGTTGGGCAGAATAGGTGATGGAAAGAAAAGCTGCTAGGTCCAGCAGCAATAGGTGAGAGTGCTGAAGCAAGGGGGAATACAATTTTAATGCAAAGGTCCTTTTGAACCACTTTGTCACCACCCTCAGAGGGTGTAAGAACAAACTACATGGCTTTAGAGAAATGCTCTGTCTGCAGAGAGCCACCTCTCATGTGCTCTGTACCTCTCCCCACCAAGCTGTTAGGTCAGACACATGAAGCTCTCTGGATTTTGGTTGCTGTGGCCATAAGGTATGGGACCAGAAAGAAATGTAGAAAGGGGATTTTCTGTGTTTTGCTGAAGATCAAAGCCAGTCCACATCTAACATCAGCAGCTGGCTTCTGTTATCATTGAATGAAACAAAAAACAGAATTCAAGGATATTTGTATCATTAGGACAGTCTCCTTGTTGAACACTTCCCAAAAAACTTGTACAGTAAAAAGCTAAAAATAAATGTTAACTGCAAATTTGAGATATTTAAGTATTGAGTATTTTCCTTTGTGAATATTCTTGAAAGAAACCTGTTTTGGAATAAATAATGCTTGATCAAATCAGTTTTTAAGGTGGTTGTTAATCATACATATGTTAATAATATTGGCTTGTTTTAATTGATACTTGGTTGAAAGTAGTGTATATTAGCCTGGCTTTGGTCTTTCAGAGCTGCTTTGAACTTTAAGGAAACATATGATAAGGTCATATTTTAGGCCTTTATTAACAACACCTTTGTAGCATTAACACTGAAGTTGAGCACCTTTTTATACCTGACACCTTTTATTCCTTTTTTTCTGTTACACCTTAACATATGGTGATGAGAACGTGACAGGGCTGCATAGCCCAGCTCTCCACACAGAGCCTGCTCTCCTTGCACTGTTACCTGCACAGGCCTGAGCAAAACTAAAAGCATGTTATGTTTTACTCCTTTCTCACCAACACACTGCTAATTCGAACTTAACCTTAAAAAGTTTGATACATCTTTGATTGCTAAATCAAAACCTGTTTATTAACCAATGTGTGTTTGATACATGTCTGTCTCTAGATGCCTGGTTCTCATTACTTCAGATATTTAACTTGAATGATCGGTCAATTCCCATGAATGATTTAAAGAATTTGATATAAGCTGAAATAAGTTAAATGCCTAATTTTAAGCATAGATAATTGAGTGACCCAGTTCCTTTCTGCTTAAGATGTTCAAAGAGGCTTAATTTCAGTTTCTGATGGATGTGTTGCTGCTTTATCCAACTCTCTTAATCCCAACCTTATATAAACCCCACATTGGTGTATTTTTAAGCAGAGACTGAGCCAGGAGTTTCTGTGCATGCGTGTGTATACTCAGAGAGTGAATGTCATTTGGCAGCCTGAAAACTCTGAATCAGGCTTAGTAGTAATGTTCCTTAGGCCAGAAGGGAATACAGCTTCCTGCAGAAGGGTGAAGGAGAAACATTCCTAGTGCACTGCCTGACAGAGGGTGATGGAGTTGCTCAAGTCCATTCAGGTCTGTGTTTCAGTGTGGTAGTTTCCAGGCCTTAATCCTTTCGGGTCTCATATGAATTGCTATATAACTCAGTGGTTTTACATTCAGATAGGAATTTTTTTATCACTATCTTAAAGAATTAACCTTTCAGTGGTGCTGGAAAAGAACAGTAGTACTGTGATCCTTGTCTTAAATAATGTTATGTCCTCTCCACACCAGCTCAAAAACCATAAAAGCTCAAGATCCCAGAAGGTCAACTCTGAATCCAGACTTTCCAATGTGATAAGATCTTTCCGTCTTGGATTTCAGCTCATCCACTCTAGAAATAAAGGCCCAAGGATAAGATTTGAAAGGGGTTGGACTTGTACAACTGGAGTTGGGTGACGTATAATAGTCTGTGACTGCTTTCTGGTTCTAAAGATAGTGATTCATGAGCTTTGACAAAAATAACTTTGGAGCACAGTTATAACTAGCATCAGTCAAGTGTGGCTCAGTGCATTTTATAGGATTTGTACATGATGCCTTATTGAAAGTTATACCATCCAGTATGTGGGTGACCCAAGTAAGTTCTTCTATGAACATCAGAGTCCAGAGTTTTATAGACCCTGTAAATCCAGTGAATTTACATCTCATATCACTAAACTCCTTCTGCCCTTATCTTCTGCTTCCTTTCACTTTTCCTGCTTCTTAGACCCTGGTCCCATTGCTATGCTGCCAGGTATGCCCACAACTTTCAACCTGCTGGACTGAAAATAATTCTGCAGAGTTATTAATATATTTGGTAACTATGGGTGTAATGTAAATTATACTAGAAGTTTACATTGTAAATAATTTAAAAGCATGCAAATACCAAACAAATTTGAAATATACTTAAAATTTTTGTAGGGTTTTCAACTGCCTTTTCGCCACAACCTTTGAGGGGGCTGCAGTGCATACAGATCTTAAATTATAGTGGCTCTGAGTAAATAAATCAGACTTGTGAAAGCTGAGAATACTGGCAAACTAAGTAGCACATAGTTCTCTCCAGCAACTACTTGTGATATTAACGTGCTGATACATTTTTAACCTCAGTAAACTTTTACAAAGCTTTTGTGAGCTTTAATATAGCCATAAAACTATGGAAGTTTATATCATATCTTAAGTTTGTATACTCCAGCTCAGGTTCTAGTTATATTCTGGAAACCCTCAAGCTTTCTTCAGAAAGTTGACTTGGGTTTCCTGTGCGTGAGCACTTTTTCAATCTGCCTTACAGTAGACTTTTTGATCACTGAGATTTTTTTGTCCAACATGACTAAAAACATGTAGGTTATTTTTTTGCTTCCCTGTCTAAGCCAATTCATTTCATGTTTGAACCAAGATGCCACTTTTTCCAAAGCCAATAGATGCTAGCAGTGTCAGTTAGACTATAGGAGCAGCAAGAATGAGATCAATCAAATAATATCAGAAATAAATTTGGTCGTAGACTTTTACAACAACAACAACAAAAAAGGACATCTTTATATGGAAAGATTCTTCACTACCACTACATTAAGAACAAAGTTGCTTTATTCTTGTGTTCTCTCTTTTCCCCTTGAGGCTTTGTGATTATAATTTTATTCTGTGACACCTAAATTTAGTTTTGAATCAAGTACAGTAGCTCAATAGAACACCACACGTTAAGATCCACATTGAATTTCACATGACAGGCTTTACATTTGCTGAAGGCTTGGGGGCTGTAGTTTTAACAGTCATCTCACATTTTGGTTGAACGCAGTTTGATGCACGTCTATGAAATTTGTGTTTTGCTCACACAGGGGATGATTCAAGTTTACAGCTGTCGCAAACAGTATGCAGGACCTAATTCATGAATAAGCTGTCAGTTACTATGATCCCAAAATGAAAACAAACTAGAATCACAAGAGGAAATTGGCATGAAACATGAGAGTAGAAAAAAAATTAATCACACTAGTATTGCATTTGGACACCTTGAAAATTAGGATACCTACCCCTACCTCCTCAACTTGTATTATTGCAATTGTACCTTTGTAAAGCACATCTCACCTATTATTTGATCCAATTGTATATGTTAATATCCAGATAGTAGAAAAATATTATAGGTATTATTCAGATAAGTAAGAGCTAACATTAGATATATATGTAATTTATAACTAATTACCTAGTACCTGCTGAAAAGTAAGAATTGGTAATTATTTGACACCAGAAAAATATTGTATGGGATTAGACAAAAATAAACTATAGAAAAACTATAGAAAATACCAGAAGACGTGTATTTATTTAGTATTAGTGTTTATGATTGTGCGTTTTGTAGCTCTCTTATTGGAGAGTTGTCCCCTAAAAGACCATTTCTGTTCATCTGATCTTGTATGTTTTCATTCTCACTTGTGCTCTGCTGGCACAGTATTTGTGGCTGGTTGTGTGAATGTCATTATGCTTTATTTCTACATCTTAATTTCTAATCTAGATTCAGAGCATCAATATGAATGCAGTTCCCCCATTCTCATTCTTTCTGTGTCACTTGAATAAAAATCTCCACTCTTTGTTCACTCTTTGGGAAAATGCTTCCCCTAAAAGCCTCTTCAGCCAGAGCATCAGAGGTACAAAGGTGGTTCTTCATTATATGAACATACCTTTCTCTTTTATGCTCAAAGTTTGTTTGACAACCCAGTGGGACTAAAAGTATGCATGTGGTAACACATGTGCTTAGGTTGCTGCTGGCTCAGATCTCAAGGGATGCCTGTGCCCCAGTTTATACCAAATGTTGGGTAAGAAAAGTTAAATATTAATCTGATAATTATTAGTGCAACATAAGAATTACAGTGCAAGACCGTCTGGGTGGTAGAAACAGGTGCAGTTCATAATCATCTATTTTTATTTTTTTTTACTTGGGAAAGCTCCATCTGTAGCCATTCCTGAATAATATGTGCAGGGATTATGGTGTGGCAGTTATTTAAAATCATAAATTACTGCATTTAAAATTAAACTAAATTTTAATGAGCTTGCCTATTTCAGAAACGAATACTTCCATGCCATATGTGACGTACCTGTCATCACACGATACCAGCACACCGTTTCTTGAAGCCCACTAGCACACAAACTGTGTGCCTGGAAACATCCATGAAGTGAGAACTTTGGTAAATGGAATATCACTGCTACAAATAAGACTGAGGGATTGTTTCAGGCAATTAAACCTGCCCCATACAGTAGTTCTTTAGTGTATGTAACTTCACTTCCAGTTCAATTGTGTCTGTGTACAGATCACTCAAGTGCTCTTATCTAGTTTTCTCCAAGCTTGTTTGGAGAAGTTTGAATAGTGGTAGTTTGTTCCAAAGCAGTCAGTCCTTCCTACAGTGCAAAGAATTAATCTTTTGTCAGTGCATACCAAGTGCAACAAAGGCACTGTTCTGCACAGCCTGATTTGGTGGCTGTTTTTCAGCAGAACTGATGACTACATTTCCAAATTGTGAAAATTTAACACTGCTAGCATGGATGGAGCTTTATTTTTTTCTTATGTGCTCAGTGCCAAATAAGCTCACAGTTTAAGTTGTTGCTATTTTACAAGAGCTCATCTTTTAATTCTTGTTGTTGGATTTTAAAGACTACACGCCTTACTTTATGGATATACATAATAATGGTTGGTTTTATTAGGCATTTAGAGGCAATGTCATATTTTCTGAAATGTCTTGAAATATTTAACAAACACTTCTGGTCATAGTTTATTCTTAATTCTCAAAAGCTCTCTGATTTATATTTTTGCATTCAAAGAGAAAATTGCAGGGAAATGGCAGTTGATTATAGTAATAGTTACTAAGAGTTATTTTGGTTTATTCTATTTTAATCAGCTTTAGTTTAATACTTATTTACCTTTTTTAGGTTACACAGTTGCATATTTTATATCTAAATAGAAATTATGGCTTTTGATTATTTAGATTCTTATTTTTCATAATTATATGCATTCCTACATCAGAAATTGACCCTACCTTATTTTTATTATGTAAATATTGAGTGATTTTACTTACAGATGTATGGCATTTTCTCTGTCCCTGGAAGATCTTGCTATTGCTCATGAAAGACTATTGCCTATAACAATAATATTATGGTCTGTAAAGAAGTATAACTTGTAAAGATATGAAATAGAAAGTTAAACTTTCATTACATGTGATCTGTCAGACATAGGCTGACAAAGACCAAGCTTTAAAAAGTGTAGATGGAAACCACCAAGGAACCAGAATAGGCAGATGGACTCCTAAAGTCATGACTGTAGATATAGAGTAGAGAATGATATGCTTGCGGTAAGGATAACACCTTTAGTTTAATGTGTATTTTGGTTTTTTTAATGAGATTTGTTTTGGAGTCAGAGGATACATCTATGTCTCACCTTTGTAGTTGGTGTCAGTGATTCAGCAGTGATGACAGTGTGCTGATATTGAAAGTTGGACAAGGAATGTTTGGTTTCCCTTCACACATACTACTTAAAAAGACCATTTGTGACCTCCGGTGCATGCCTCCCATGTGTGGCTCTGAAGAGAGAGTGTGCTGTAGTTACCTTTGCACCAGTGAACATGTAACAGTTCCAAACATCATCTTTGCTCTGTTACTGTAGTTGTTGTCCCCAGAATGGTCTATTTGAGATCAGTACTGAACATTATGTTTCTTTTATTTTATTCCAGAATTGGCTTGAAAAGCAAAAATTATGCTGGAATGTCTCCAAACATTTTTAGTACATCAGAAAATGATAACAATAAAAATGCATGAAGATCTTTTGAGCAGCAGCATCTTTAAGTTTCTTTTTTTGTTTTAGCATCATATTTCAGTTGATCAAGTGGATTTGGAGCTAATTCTTCCCTCTGGGGAATGAACAAAATTAATCTGTATATAGAGGTATCACTGCCACTAACTGCTTCTTAGAACACTACCTTTAGATCTTGGAATGTAACCTTCACAATGGAGAGAATTAGAAACTACTTTTCTTTAACTGAAGTTTTGACTTTGGTTCTCCAAAAACTTTTCTATGAACTAGCTCAGTTTAAACTTCTTCTTAAGGGAGTTTTTTGCCAAAACTTTCATTCTTCTCTCCTATGGAGTTGCATGCACTGTTGAGAAGGACCTTGTGAGCTCAGTGACCTTGACGTGAGTCCGGAGACAGTACAGAGGTGATTAGTCAGCTTACCAAAGGTATCAGTCTCACAGTAGCATTTCACTGCTGTCACATAAAGGCCCTACCATAGCCCAGAGCTGCAGTGCCTGGGCAGATGCTCGGGAGCACAAACCATGGAGTTAGGTGTGACAGCTTCTAGAGGCTGCAGACTTTGAACAGAGACAAAAAAG